CAAGCGGCGGCGGCGCAGACGGCGGCACAGTTGGCGGTGGGGGCGCAAGCGGCGTCGCCTGCGCAAGCGGTTTCGGCGCCGGCGGCAGCGGCGACTCAAGCGGAGGCGGCGGTAGGGCATCGGGGCAGCTTGAAGCGGTGTCCGCACTGACGGCGTGGGCAACTCAAGCGGCGGCGGCTCAGCCTCGGCGGGGGCTGCGCAAGCGGCGGCGGCGGCGGGGGTGGGAGCTGGAGGGCCAGCAGCTGAGGATGGGCAGAAGTAGGGCTGAGGACGGGCGCGGAGAAGGGAGGGGGGCCGGTTTGGGAGGACTTCCTGGACGGAATATCTCCTTCCAGGGGCTCCGGTTTCGGCTTTGGGGGGTGGGGTGGGAGGGGGTACAGCCCTCGCTTGTCCTGGGGCGATTAGAAGAGCCTGAGCAGGTACCTGCTCTGAGCTGAGAGGGTGGAAGGGGAGGGAGGGCTGGGGGCGGGCGGGGGCCGGCGACGACAAGTCTCTGTGGCCACCCGGGGCAGGGGGAGGCGCGCCTTGCTAAAATGGAAATCCTGGGGCTGGGGGAGGCTGCGGTGGCGGCAGGCGCTGTCGGTCCGCTCTGGGCTGCCGGCTCTGAGCGCAGCAACCCTGGCAGCTCCTCCTTGGCGGTCCTCTGCCGCTGCCATCGCTGTGGCAGGCGAAGGGAGATGTAACCAGGTGGGGAGGGAGGGAGGTCGCCAACCTGGGAGGGGAGAGGGAAGGAGCCGGCCCACTCCCCGCCACTGGCCTCGGGCCGCCTCTGTGCGCCTCCTCCAGATCTGGCCAGCGGCTCCCCTGCCGGCGCCCCCAGCCCCACGCTGCAGTCCACAAGTCCGCCCGCTCCCCGCGCCCGCCGCGGCCTCTCTAGGGCCGCCGCCATCTCCGCCGCCTGTGCGAGGCAGCGCGGTCCGGGCCCAGAGGTTGCGTGGTGCCGGTGGAGGCGTCCGGTGCACTCCCCGGTCCCTGTTTCGGTCCCTGGAAAGGGTGGGTGGGTGGTCGCCGGAGCCAAGGTTCCAGCCCTGGATGCCTGGGAAATTGCAAGGGCTCACCAGTGCCTGTGTTTTGCTGTTTCTCCCCGCTTTTTAACCCGATCTCTGTCTCTTCCCTCCCCTTTCCCCCACTCCTCACTCAGAAGGCCAGAAACCAGTGAACCTGCCTCAGAGGAAGGCTTTTGGGGTTCCAGCGTCTGCACCTTCAGAAGCTGCGCTGAAGCCTTGAAGTGCAGCCTCTGCGATGTGAGGGAAGGCACCTCCACCAGGTACTTGAAGATCTGGGTTAGCTTTGGTGGAAGGACTTTTGTTGCTTAAGGTGTGGGAGGGGGTGGAGGGCTCTCCTTGAGGCCCTCTTTCCAACTTGTTGAGGATGGCTTTTTTGCATTTGGGGGTGGTTGATGTGTGGTTTTGGTTGTGCGTATTTCGTGTTGGGTGCAAAGCGGTCCTATTCACCGCATGACTTAAGGGAGGGCATTTGTCCAAGTTTTCGTCTCATTTCTAAGGGGCTGGATTGGTTTTGACACTTGTGTCTGTTGGGTTATTGGTATGGATGGGCTCACAAAGAGAGGAAGCAGTGATTTTGCTGTGGATTGTAGGAGTTGAGACGTTTTCTTTTGACCCTGTGTAGAATGTTTTTAATTTGCCTGTCCTGAATTACTGTTTTCTTCTCTGAGCGATTTGGTGGTGGAGGTACAGTTAGGCTGGTTGTTGTGCTTTTCCTGTCTTGAGCGGCAAATGTCTGTTCCTTTCTTGTGTTTGAAGATAAACGTTGGGGTTGGATAAAGAAAGTGTATTTTTTTGGAAAGCTGAGCTGTCAGTTTGTGTGTGTTTGCTTTCTGATTATCTTCTGCAGTGGGGTGATGGGTGTCTTTCTAGACAGCGTTAAGGTACACATTTGTCTTTTTGGGCAGCACACAATCTCCTTTCTTTGGGGCAAGGGATAGTTACTTCTGTAGGTGATTACTGTAGGCTTTGCCGTTTAGCTCATTGGGCTGGGGATAATGTAAAGTTGAAACCTTTGTGTAGAGGCTGGTCTGCTTTTCCTTAGTTGACTGCCACTTTCTGAGGCCAGGACAGCTAACTTGTCAGTGTATCCTGTTAGTTGCTGGGATGGGAGGTTTGAGTGACGTCCGTTCATCCTGTGCTTCAGTCAATGCTGAAGAAATTCCAAGATGAATAAAAACTCTTTTGGTAGGGACGCCAGGGTGGCTCAGTGGGTTAAGCCGCTGCTTTCAGCTCAGGTCATGATCCCAGGGTCCTGGAATCGAGTCCCGCATCGGGCTCCCTGCTCAGCAGGGAGCCTGCTTCTCTCTCCACCTCTGCCTGCCTCTCTGCCTGCTTGTGTGCTTTCTCTCTCTCTTTCTGACAAAAAAACAAAAACCAAAAAACAAAAAACAAAAAACTATTTCGGTAAACGGCAGTTGGGTGAGGAAGTTGTCAGCACTAAATCAGTTCGCTAGAACTTCGGGTAATAGTGGATCCCTGAATGTCTCCTTTGCAGTCTGAACTGAAACATGCTGTAGTCTTTTGGCTCTCAGTTTCTCTGTGGCTCTGTCACCTGGGCCTTTTTGGTTGTGGCGTCTTCCTCCCCATGGGGAAGTTCCCTTCTTCTTTTTAAGGGAAGGGGGTTTTGTGTTTGTTAGTTTGTTTTTAAGGCTTATTTATTCTCTTAAAGATATTTGTTTCTTTGAGAGAGTCTCTGTGGGGGCAGGGCAGGGCAGAGGGACAGAGAGAGAATGTCAGGTACACTCTGCACTGAGCCAGAAGCCAGACTGAGGGCTCCATCCCAGGACCCTGAGATCATGACCTGAGCCCGAGTCAGGAGTTGGATGCTTAACGCACTGAGCCACCCAAGCACCCCTTTAAGTGAACTTTTTGAACCGCAGCATATATACAGAGAAGTGCACAGATCCTAGGCCAAAGGCTCGAGGAACCTTCACAAGGGGAACACACCCTGTGACTTGCACCCAGGACCCCAGAGTCTATGATCACCCTCTTGACGGTCACTTCTGCCACGGTTCTTGACTTCCATTGCTGGGGAGCTGTTGCGCATGTTTCTGAATTTGGTGTAAGTGGAGTCCTCCAGTTCGATGCACTCCTGGGCCTGCCTTACGGAGAGTCATCCGTGTTTGTGTGCGTGCTTGTGAGTTTACCAGTGCTGCTGTTTCATCCTCAGACTATTTTAGAGCTCCGCTCTGCGTGTAGACCCTTAGACATTCTCGACATAGGATAGCTCCTTGGTATCTTTTTATTACCTGCATCCTTGAACACAGGTGTCTTCTTTCAACTGTAGCGTAAGGATCAAGCCTGGTGTGTGGAACTTTTTTGCAGCCCATAAACGGAGTAAGCTTTTGCCTCCTCAGTTGTAGTGTTCTATCAGTCATTGCTATTTCAAGTCATTGGTGAAGTAGATAGAAAATGCCTGCTTTCAGGGAACCGAACAGATGTTGAAAAGGTGAGACAGAAAGGTGTTCAGTAGTGGGAGGCGCACCCTTGGAATAAATGAGTCCCTGGGAGAGATAGTTGGTCTGTGTGGGTACATGGGAAAGGCCTTACTGAATCTGGGATTTAGGGTTCTTTGAGGTCGTTGGTTGGGCAGGCCGATACAAGTGAGTTGTTTGCTCCGTCCTCCATCCTTTTTCAGCTCTTCTTTCACTTCAGAGGTCACCCATACCTTTCCACTTCTCCCCACAGGCTGGTAACTCCCATTTACTGTATAATAGCCATCGCCAGCCTTATGCGTCCATGCCCGAGGCAGGCAAATCCAGCTCTCTCTGCTTGGTCCACTGAAATGACCTGGCAGTTCTCATTGCCTTTAAAATAAAGTCCAAATGCTGAGCATCACGAGGGGCTTCTGATTCAGTCCTTTCGTGTTCCTTTAGGATTTCTGCAGGCCGACTGCCACCGAACCCCATCTGCCGTCCACATATAGGGGTCTGTGTTTCCTGCCAAACTGCTTGTGTCCTGGCCTTGGACCATGATACCTCATTTCCATACCTTCACCTCCTCTCTTCCTCTGGATTTTCTCTGAAATGCTTTCCCTCACTTCTGTGTCTTGCCTCACTACCATTTGGACTCTAGATGTCTCAGGAAGCCTTTTCGTCACTCCATTCAGGTGTAGCTCATCTTTGTAACACTTGAATTGTATTTTTTTATTTGCTTGCCGCACCCTCCAAATCATGTATAACTCATTTAACACTTGAACAGCAGTTTTATTTGATCACCTGTTACGTTTTACCTTTTTTGAGGGTAGGATCTTTTCAAAACAAAACAAAACAACCTAATGATTTTAATTTGAGAGAGGGAGGGAGAGAACGTTTTAAGCCATCTTCATGGAGACTCTGAGCCCCACATGGGGCTCCATCTGATGACCTTTAGATCATGAGCTTCTGACCCTTAACTGATTTGAGCCACACAGGTGCCCCCTGAGGGCAGGACCTCTCTTTTCACATCTTTATTTTTCTGAACCATGTAGTACAGTGCCTGGCGCTGACAGGGGTTCAGTAAATGTATATAGAATAGATGAAGACGAGTTTCAGTTGGAATCTCCCTTAAAACTGTTCCATCCGTTTAAAAGTTTTAAGTAATAAATAAGCTTTCATATCAGGGCTTGAATCCCATGTGTGTAATGTTACTAGTGTAGGGGCAAGTTGTCTTTATGAAGTGTGTCCTTGAAAGTAATACACCTGTTTCTTTCGTTTTGTTTTTCTCACCATGGGCTGGAAATGAAACCCAGAACTTGAGTCTTGGATGCTGTAGGCAGTGTGTTGAAAGTACTTCCTGGAGTGGTTTGGAGCTTCAGAGCATGAGCACATTGACCTGAACAAGAACTCTGATGATTCCTAATCCTTTTTGGTTGTCCATTTGGTTATTGAAGTGGCCCAGAAAGTCTTACAGTCTGCTAAAGAAGAGGAGATCCGTCATGTGCAAAATCGGTTTTGGGGAACTAGATGGGTGTGCATGTAACCTGGCGTCGAAAGGCAGTTTAAGAATGGGAACAGAGGGATGCCTGGGTGGCCCAGTTGGTTAAGCAGCTGCCTCCGGCTCAGGTCATGATCCCAGTGTCCTGGGATGGAGTCCCACATCAGGCTCCTTGCTCAGCAGGAAGCCTGCTTCTCCCTCTGCCTCTGCCTGCCACTCTGCCTGTGCGCGCGCTCTCTCTCTCTCTTTCTACTTCTCTGACAAATAAATAAATAAAATCTTAAAAAAAAAAAAAGAATGGGAACAGAACATGCTGGGTATCGATGGAGGGGTTATGCTGTCCATCGTGTAAGTACTCCTGTGTTCATATACCTATAAGTTGGAAGTTGTACATGGAGTATATTCTGTCGAGGACTGTGGATTAATTCTGTTAAATTGGAGTCTTGACTCATTCACTTCATGTATTGAGCTTTAAGTTCAGTTCTATGCAGTGACTGGCTGTCGTGTCAAAGAAGAATTGTCAGTAAAGACAATGCAAGACAACTGCAGTGTTAGTCAGAAATCAGGAATAGTTGAAATCATAAGGTAAACAAGTGAAATTTTAATTTTTCAATAGGATTAGATAATGTTCCTTTTCCCTCCCTTTCTCTTTTTAGAAAAACTATTTAAATGATCCTTTGGTTGAGAGAAGAAACTGGTAGAAGGGATATGTTAAAAAAAAAAAAAGAATCTTACTTAAAACTTCATATTAAGAGCATTCGCAATACATTTTAAGATGAAGTTGCTTTTGCGGGGGCAGGAAATTAAAGGGGATGTAGGATGCCAATTTTATCAGCCTGTATTGGATCTTCAAGTCTATTGAGTACTTGGTGGTTGGTTAGTCAGGGAGAAAATCAACGTGATGACTGCTTTCTGAGAAGAGATGAGATTTCCTATGTAGGGTAGAAGGTTTATACACTGTTCATTCTTTTCTAGAAGTAAAAGTTGTTGAATATCCTACGTCTGCCAGAATATTCCAGGTTTCAAGAAATAAAAATTCAGCTTAAAACGACCTTCAGTCGAAACCAAACCGTTCTGTGGTCTTGGGGTGCCTGGGTGGCTCAGTTGGTTAAGCATCTGCCTTGGGCTCAGGTCATGATCCTGAGGTCCTGGGACTGAGCCCCACGTCGGGCTCCCTGCTCAGAATGTCTTACTTGGAGGGAAATGGGACACTTACCCAGGTGGATAGGAGGTAGCTACCGTAGTAACACCCATTTGTAACCGGGTTAATACCCATGTGTTCACTTCGAATTTCAAACTTTAATAAGCATGAAGGTTGGAACTCTGTTTATCTGGTACTACCCAAGCCTCTTGTGAATTTTTATCCCAGGAAGGAGAGAGATTTTCAGCGCATTGGTAAAATTTAAAAATAACTGACGTGTTCGTAGGGTATTTTCCTGTATCATTCCATATATTCCCGATTCTCCTTTATTTTGGTTGTGAAGGTGGTAATACATGCTTAGAAGAAATTAGGGGACAAAACAACATAAAGGTCACTTTTATTCTGCCCATGCAGAATTATTTTTATTTGACCAATTTATTTGTTTATTCCCCGGACCACAGATCTTGTGTAATTATAGTTTTCCAGGTGCTGTTTAATATGCTAGTTCATTGAATTTTGAAAGTGCTATAGGTTGTAGTTCCGTGTAGGAATGGGGGTATCAGGCAGTGTATGATACAAAACTAATTGAGTCTCTGGTTTGAAAGACATCCATTCTGACCTGTTGGTTTTCTCTGGTTCATTTTGGGTTTTTCTTCTCTAAGGAAATTGTTTGCGATCACTTCATAGTTTTAGGGATTCCTTTTTGTAGGAAATAAAGCTAACATCCAGTTTCCAGTTTTCTTTTTGTTTTTTGTTTTGTTTTGTTTTACTTTGGGGGAGAATGAAAATATGTCTTTGGATTCTTAGTATCTGTGGAGTGATTAACTTTGCCGAAGTTACACGAAAAGAATAAGTACATAAGGCAATCCAGATTTAATGTTTTTCTACTAAATTTGTTTAACGTTTTGGTGCTCCAACTTTCCTATGTATCGGAATCCCCTGGAATGCTTGTTGAAACACATTGCTTGATTTCCGGCTCTACCCACCACCTTCTGGGGTTTTTTATTTTATGAAGTAGGTCTGGGGTAGGGCCTGTGACTTTGCATTTATTTCTTAGAAGTTACTAGGTGATGTTAGTGCTGCTAGTGCTGGTCTAGGGAGCACTGTTTGAGAACTATTGGTTAGATTACCTTAAATTTGAAAGAGAAGCCAGCCATGTTTCTAAATGAAACTGGAGATAGTTTTGATGTTACAGAAAATTGATGTCTCAGAGCGCCTGGGTGGCTCAGTGGTTAAGCCTCTGCTTTCGGCTCAGGTCATGATCTCAGGGTCCTGGGATCGAGTCCTGCATTGGGCTCTCTGCTCAGCGGAAAGCCTGCTTCCTCCTCCTCTCTCTCTCTCTCTCTGCCTACTTGTGATCTCTGTGAAATAAATAAAATAAAAAGAAAATTGATGTCTTGGCATTGCACAGGGAATTTAAGAGAAGTGCTCTCCATTCATGTTTTTATTTATTTATTTATTAAAAGATTTTATTTTTCGGTGGAGGTGGGGGAGAGTGAGGAAGCAAATCAGGGAGAGCGGCAGGCAGAGGCAGAAGCATGCTCTCAGCTAAGTGGGAAGCCCCATGCAGGACTCGATCCCGGGACCCTGGGATCATGACTGGAGCTTTAAGTCAGTTGCTTAAGTGCCTGAGCCACCAGGCATCCCTACATTCAGTTTTTTAACTTAGAGCTGGAATTAGAGGCGATTTCTGAAGAAGTAAATTGTGTGTAGTAGAAGAGCACTTATCAGTTGGGGAACATATCCACTGAATTTTTATCTCCCACATTGAAAAGTCAGATATTGTCTTGGGCTATTAATATGCGTGTTGGATTTCAGATACATGTAGTTTTAAAGGCTATTTCTTTGTAACGTATGTTAGAACAAGTTTGATAGTCAGTAAACTAACCTTTCAATAGAATGTTGGCCAAGGAATATGAATAGGTAGTTAATCAAAGAACAACAAAGTAAGTCAGGAAACCTGAGAAATAGATAACTTCTATTACTCCAATACAAAACAACATTTTTGGCAAGTCAGATTTTAAAGACTACAAAATTGTTAGTGTGTCTAGGAAGAAGAGGACATTGTAACAGAGCCTTGGTGGCTAAGATAAGCTGCTTTACATTTTCTGAAGGCCAGTTGGTAGCAATTCCTTTAAAAATATTTGTAGCTTGTGACCCAGCATTTTCACTAGGAGTTAGTGTACTCTGCACATACATTTTCTGTGTAAATACATTTGTCGCATCATTATTATAACAAAAAATAGCCAATGAACTCATTAAATGTTGGTAGTATGCTTCATGAGGGGCAGGTCTTTTGCTAAGGCCACAAGGGTCTGTGGCCCAAAAAGTGGAGTTTGGTAGTAATTCTTGCTGCAAGTTAAAAACAAACAAACAAAACAGCCTACATAGAGGTCAGGGAATTGATACAAAACTGTGCAATACTTACAAATATTTTGCAGCTCTTAAAAATGCCAGTTTTACTTGTCATACGGTAAAACTGGAAATGACCCAGATGTCCTTCAGTAGCTGAGTGGTACATCCGTCCCAGATGGAATACTTCTCAGCAATTAAGAAGGAACAAACTCTGGATGCATACGACAGCTGGTGTGGATTTCAAGGGCATGATGCTGAGTGAAAAAAGCCAATGTGTGCAGGTCACACACTGTAGGCAGCCACTCATGCTTTTGTTATCACAGAGTTAGATGAGCAGTCACTAAGGGTTAGGGCTGATGAGGTTGGGGGGGGTAGGTGGTTGTGACTGGAAAGGGGTACTGAGAGGGAAGGTTTTGTGTTGATGAAATCTGATCTTGATTGTGGTGGTTGTTACCTGAATCTGCACGTGATAAGGTTACCTAAAATGGTACACATGCGTCCCCATGTCAGTTTCTTGGTTTTGATGTACTGTAATCCAGAGGATGCAACCCCGTCTGGGAAATGGCGTGCAAATTATATGGGACGTCATACTGTTTTTGCAACACCCTGTGAATCTGTAATTATTTCAAAATAAGATGTGAAGTTTTAGAAAGCATATATAATAAAAGGAAATGTTCACAGTATTAGAATAAAACAAGTTTCAAAGTGATAAAACATGACCCCACTTTAATATTTCATAGCACTTAATTTAGTGTATTTACCTGGAAGTAATGAGTGATCAAAATATTCTGAGCAGTAGCATGGTGGATTCTTTTGGATTCTTTTGTGTGTATGTATGCTTCTCTATAATTTCTACAGTTTAGATGAGTTGATATCACTTCTGTAGCTTGTAAAGCAGTCTTCATAATAAGTTCCAAAAATCTAATTCTGGAATGTTGAAATTTAAAGAACATTTACATTGAGATTGTCAAGTTTTGTTTATATTGGTTACACCAAGTTAGCATTTAAATAGCTATTAGCTGAGACTGGAGAGTATATTTATCCTCTAAAACATGTTGTGTTTGTAAATGTAAAGCTGTTTTTTGCTCTTGGTATTACAAATGTCCTGTATGATGTTCTGACTTCCCAGTGTTGTCCAATGTAAGTATATACATTGCAGGCCACATGAAATTTTAAGCTTCATTAACCACAGTGAGCAAGTAAAAAGCAGCTGAAATGATTATTTTTAACGATTCTATTTTATTTTTTGTCAGAGAGAGAGGACGTTCTCTCGTGCCCGAGAACCCGTGAACCCGTGCACAAGCCGGGGGCAGGGGCACGCAGAGGAGACAGGGCAGGCAGAGATGAGAAGCAGGCTCCCTGGTAAGCAAAGAGCTGAATGTGGAATTTGATCCCAGGCCCCTGAGATCATGACCTGAGCTCAAGCTTAATTAACTGAGCCACCCAGGTGTCCTTTGGTGAAATCATTGTTAAGAAATTTAGTTTGTTTAATCAGTTATATCCATCATATTATCATTTCAATGTGTAATCAGTATAAAATTGCAGTGAGATATTGTACATTCTTTTTATCATACTGTAATAAAAATCATACTGATGTGGGAAACAGAGGCAGCAGAAAAATGATTAAATTTCCTTACCTCCTGACAAGCCCTTAAAACAGGCAGAGTGACTCTCCTCTAGAGACTCAACTACCCCCACCTTAAGGCTTTGCTAAGGGCAAAGGGCAGTCCTAGCCTGACCGACCCCCAACCCCTAACCAGGGCCCTGTAAGTACTTTAACAGTTCCTTGGAAACTTTGTCTCTAAACCTCCAAGATAGTGCTGACAGTCACTCCCAAGCATATGGCCTACTGATGGACATGTAAAGGGTCTCACTAAAAGATTTTACTACTGGTAATGAATAACCTTTTCCCCAAACAATAGCTAGCCCCTCGAGGTCCTAGAAACCTTGCTTCCAAAATTCCTTAGAGACTGACACCATCCCTAATCCCCTCCCCACCTTACAAGTATATGATAGACCACTCCTGACAACCCGGGGCAGCATCTCTTCCTGCCCACAGGTCCTGTCCCCGTGCTTCAATAAAGCACCATTTTGCACCAGAGAGGTCTCAGGAATTCTTTCTTGGTTGTCAGCTCCAGACCTCATCCCAGCGAACCTCACCTATGTTGTAGAAGTTCATCATTTGGAGCCCAACTAACTCACACCCGATTGTGTGTCTTTACATTTGGACTCTGAGCTTTGGTGCAAAATCGGTGAGTACTTTCTCGCTTCTTCCTTTACTCTCACTTCAGGGCTTTTCAAGGAGTATGGTCTTAATGGAACACTTGCATGTCGATTGCTCAGGCTTTAATCCTCCAGCCCGTGGCTACTCCACAGGGAAGAAAACGTCTGACTGTTGGCTGGAAGTTAGTACCCTGGCCAGAATGGTAATAAGACCCAGAAACTTGATGCCCTTTCTTTATCCCTTTTCTTACATAAAGTTGTCTTGCTTGGGCACAGGACAGCCACCTAAGTCACCAGGAAGGACAGCTGCCAATCTTAAGACTCCCATGTGAGGTTTCTTCCTGATCGATCTAATGTGATCCCCTCCACACCCCTGGTCTAGCCACTTCTAGCCATGGGACCTCCACTAGGAGCCGGTGGGAAGCAGGACCCGATTGAATTAAAATGCAGCCGGGGATCGTTTCCTAGGGAAGTGGGCTGTAAGGACCACATGTGTTGGAATGTCACATAGACCGTGATGGATTTCAGTCTTTCCTGGTTCACGTCAGTGTCTTCTCCAAACTACTTAAAGCTACGCAATTGGGTCATTTCCCCTTGCCAAACAGTTTTCTGTTTCCCATGGGTTAAAAATGGCAGGGCAGCCACACAACTTTTAGCGTATAGGATGGCACAAGATCCTAGTCCATTCTCCAGGCACCCATCTGTAGCCTAGGATGCGATGGCGAAGAGGAGGGACGCCGGCACCCCTCCAGGGCCTTTTACGGCAGGAATGCCTTCCCGGGAAGGTAGAATGGTGATCAGTAGCGATGTCTTGAGGGACGCCTCTGGTGGCTTTTGACACACGGGCACCTCTGACATAATCCTGCATGAGATGCCACCCAGGCGTCAGGGGGGATTTGGTAATGGACCTTCTTTCCTTTTCTGGGAGCATGGCCTCAGTAGGCTTCTTTGGTTCCAAGGACTCTACCGTGGGATGCCTTTTAAACCCACTGGAAAGCTTCTACTAAAATTTTTGGAGGGTTGGGTTTTCACTTATAACAGCATTTAAAAAAATATTATAATACACAATTCACCTGTCAAACAGTTTAGCGAGTTTATACATGTGCCCATTAAACAGATATTTGTGGAGAGAGGGAGAGAGAATCCTGAAGCAGACTCCCCACTCAAGATGAAGTCCGACGCCGGGCTGGATGCCAGGACCCTGAGATCAGGACCTGAGCTGAAACCAAGAGCTGGCCACGCATACCATTTGGTTTAAATGGTAAAGATGTTTGTTAATTCCCAAGATACCCACTGAAGGGCAAAGGCCAAAATGGCTTCAAATGGCCTTAGAGATCCAGGCTCCTTCTGCTACTAACTGTTTTCCTAAGGCTGGTTCCTCCCAGTTGGCAGAAGACCTTCACTGGTAATTTGGGCTTCAGCTCCCGGTTTAGGACACTAAAACTTTGGTTCCTTGTAGCGTACACCAGGGAGAGTTTAGGCTACCATAGCATTTTCCAGGTTGTGTAGACCAGAGTTCAGGCTATTGCACCATTTTCTAGGTTGTATCTATTATGGTTATTGGTTCCTGGTTTTCCCACTGTGACCTGCCTAAGGGATGTGGAAGGACTGGTATCTAACACAGAGCTGGGGGAAAGGCTTAGGAAGTCATTCAAGTGAGTTTTCGGAAACAATCTTGGATCTCTTTTCCCATGGACACAGGACTTTTGGTTGAGCAGAGTTGTCTGACTGGCTCTTGCCAGTGAGTTTGCTGAGGGAATAAATGGTGGCAGGTCTTCTAGGTGAGGTGTGAGGTGAGGTGCTATGCTCTGTAGGGTCCTGGGAAGGGAGTTAGGCACCTGAGCAGATAAAGAGAAGAAACTGCCGCCGGCAAGGGGTGGGACGATGAGGGGCCGTGTACGTGAGCACCAAGATGGATGGCGGAGTCTGCTGAGCTTTGCAATGGAGCACGGCATGTGCCCCAGTTGACCTTTGGAGGTAGCTGATTGTCCTCCTTGACCTGCTTCCTGAGAACTGGGCCAGAACCTATTGACCTCCCCTCACCTGCCTCCTTTCTTCCCTTCTAGGTCTGCAGTAAGCCATAACCACTGGCATGACCCTTCCATCCAGCATTTTATGAGACTGTCTAAGGAGAGGAAGGCCCCCAGAATTAACAGAGGCAAGTGACTCCCTCCCTCCCAACGTCCCCTCATCAGCCCAGAGGCCTGAGGTTTTAGGGGTTCGTTCTTCAAAAGAGAGAGTTCCAGTGTTCACTCTAGCCGGTGGCATATGAAAGTGCTCATTTCCCAACATCCTCACCAACACAGGGACCTTGTCATTGTGGTTCATCTGTTATGTGAAAAATGGTATCTTACAGTAAATTTATTTTATTGTAGTCCTCTTATTTGGGGGCTGAAATTCAGGATCATTTTTATATGCTTAAGAACCATTTCTAGTGTCTTTTACAGTGAACTGTGCAAGTAAGGAGTCACCTTTTTGGCCGTATTAAAGTGATACTAACACTATTAGGCTCTGCAAGGCCTTTCTATCAAGGAAGGCAGTGAAAGGATTTGAGATGGGAGGGTGACTCATTCTCAATCAGATTGAGAAATTAGCCAAATGACCCCAAGTCCTTGGGCATGCAGGGAATCCTGGCCGAAAAGATAGAGCCTCTGGGTAGATTCTGTAAGAAATGCAAAGAAAGTTTAAAGTGACAATAAGGACATGGACCTTCCTTTGAGCTGAGGGTGAACCCAGGCTTTAGGAAGATGGGGCCAGGCCTGCCTCAGAGGCCTGAAGCCTCCATCCGGGACTCCTGAGGCAGCTTCCTTAACCAGAGGCAGGGGCCCACCTTGGAGCCCTGGTGACCTGGGTGCCCCGAGGCAGCGTGTCAGCAGCCTGCCTGCCTTCTTCCTCGGCATGGGCTGGCATGTCCAGAGTGCTTCCCAAGTAGGGTGTGGTGAGCATCTTTTCAATTTTTGTTTCAACATCCAGTCTGTTGTGGATGATATTCTATAACATACAATAAAATGATTTCCTAGAAATAAAATGCAAGAAACCAGTAAACTACAAGCTCAAATGATTTATTAGGAGAATCAATAGACACAGAACTCCTATATCACATTGCAGTACATTTCTAAATGCTGCTCAAGTTTTGTTCTTAAGATAGTTGCGCTTTAAACAACAGGGCTGTAGAACACAGATTTTATCTTCCTTTCACCCCTTTTATTCGCCATCTCCTTTACCCAAGCTCCCCACCCTGGAGCTGAATAAGTCCATTTTGGGGGCAATGTTTCCTCGTGCCTTCCTCTCCCGCAGTCGGTCTGTGAGGTCAGTTTATAAGCATAGAGGCTTTGACCCACACAGGATGGAGATGAAGGGAACATGGTAAGAAATACGGCTTTATTTTATTTTATTTTATTTCATTTTGCTTGGACATTTATCTGCCCCATACTCTGACCGCAAAATATTATTTCCTCTTGATCTCTCATTTTGAGGTTTAGCTGAGTCCTAAGTAGTTTGTACCTGGCCACGAAAAAGCATATTTCAAAGAGGAACATTAAGATCGGATGTTTTGATGTAAAACACTTGTCTGTCCTGTGTACAATCATGGGACATTTTATGGTAATCTTTAAAGATTTCATTTATTTATTTATTGGAGAGGGAGAGCATGAGTGGGAGAGCCAGAGGGAGAGGGAAAAGCAGGCTGTCAGCCTAGCAGGGAGCAGATCCTGACCTGAGCCAAAGGCGGATGCTTTACTGACTGAGCCACCCAGGTGCCCCAAGGGACATTTTTATTTCTACGATCTTTATTTCCACCATTAAATCATTAAACAGATTGTACTTACTTTGGTTCCAGCAGGTTTAAGGTAAAAAGAAGAGAATGTGAAAGTCCTGATTTCTCCCATGAGTCCCCAGAAAAATCACTGACCCCAAAGAAGAGCAGCCGAATCCTCATTTGCTCTTCTCCTGGGGCGGGCTCTGCAGGGATGCTTTCCGACCTCACTGAGCGATAACTTGTCTCTGCGTCTCTCTCTCAGGGTATTTGGCTCGAGTCTATGGCGTCAGTCAGCTGATAAAGGCATTTCTACGGAGGACAGAATGTCATTGTCAAATTCTAAGTCTTGGGACTGGGATGGAGACCACCTTCTGGAGATTAAAGGTAAATGAACATTCACCCTCTTCTTTCCCAAATTGTTTCATTTGTGAAGGTGCCCGCCTGGTTCAAAATGTTAAAAATATATTAGGAGGAGATGCAGTGACTGCCTGTCTCCCACCCCTGTGTCCAGCTACTCATGCCTGCTGCCGCCGTCAGCCACGTACTTGATGTCACCAGGGCCCTGGTGAAGGATGGGTGCCTGACTTCTCATCCTTTGCTGTTACCAACAGGGATCCTGACAAAAACCCTTGTCGACGTGTCCTCTGCATGAGTGGAAGACCCTGCCCGTGGGACTGTGAGCCCTGGACCCCTGTGTCTGCCAAATTCACAGTCACGAAGATTTTATCGTCAGCGTGACAGCGTCTTCAGTACAGTTTAGAGATGTGCAAGGCTGGGTGATAGTGATACGTACAAAGGCCTTTCCTAGCTGTTCCCTGATTTCATCCCTCACCTGCTCTGTTAACGATCAAGAACAGGTATAACTACTCTCACAGGAAACGAGACGGGTCGGGTTAGCGGCAGAACCAGGACCAAACAGACTGCGGGTCCCGCAAGTCCAGGTTGCTTCCCTGTTCTCTGTCCAGAGCCTTGTGCTTGCTCAGGGGGGTCTTTGTGGTCCGTCAGTCGGTGGTGCCTGTGCCTCAGTGACCATCGTGTGGTGGAAGGAGCTGGAGCAGAATTCAGGGGCAGAACGTACGCAGTAGGGGCAGAAGCCACTGGAGAAATGCCTCCTCTCGGCCCCACACCCTTTCAAATTGGTCCCGAGGTTGGTTTTGTCCTTCGTGTCATATAGTTGGGTTGATCAGGAATAAATCTGACGTTTTCATTTCTGGTCCAGGTACACTGAGACTTAGGTACCCCTTCCAAGAAAAAGGTTATCTGCCAGTAGTAAGGACAGCAAATAGCACAGGGTAGGAAAGATTTAGTGGACGTGTTTTGGATCGGTCCAAAGGGTTTTTAAAAAAACTCAAGTCTCCTTGAAAAAAAAGAATGCCTGTTCCAACCATCTTCATGTTCATTCCCTGCTAGAAGGTCAAACCACCTCACTTGACAATGGCAAGGTCTCCAGTATCTTGTAGGTCTTCTTTAGCATAGGAAACTTCTTTTGAAACCCTTCCCTTTCCTTACCTCCCCCACCTTCCAAGGGTGTATCAGTTCCCCGCACAACACTGATGCCGCTCCTTCTGTGCACGGGTTCTGTCCCAGTGCTTTAATAAAACCACCGTTTTGCACCAAAGAGGTCTCAAGAACTCTTTTTCGTCATCGGCTCTGGACCTCACCCCACCAAACGTCACCTACATTCCAAAACTCGATGACTACTCCCCTGTCTACCTGCCGCTTGGCATTCTTTCTGTCATTTCCTACAAATGTCGGCAAAGCAGGCACTGCTAGGCTTTAAGGGACGGGCTTCAACTCTGGAAACAGGATCAGTGCACACTAAGATCATAGAGTGGAGTAACAACCAAGTTAAACACAAAGCAACTAAGCAAAAAGTTATGGGGGAGGGACCCCAAACCCTCCGTAGCAAGTTTAGAAAACACGAGGGGAAGGAAAAGCATTTTGGTACACACACACCAGAACTGTCACATGTGCTTTGGCCAAACCACACTCCCCATTTGACCCAGGTGTTGGGGAAAAAACAAAAAAGCAAAATCTGTGGAAAACTCACACTTTGATATCTCATCCAGAATAAACAGTCAGTAGGTCCAGTACAGCCAACAGCCCTAAGGACCTTAAAAGCTGTGCCCCAGATAACTGCACATGACCATCACCTCCAGAAGCTCTCAAAACCACCAGTGGTTCGTATTCCAATAGCCAGATGGTCTACAAAGCCTGGTGTCTGCTGTCATTTCGTAATGGATAATGTTTCCTGTCAGGCATTAAAGCAGAAACCAAAGAAGCTTGGAGAGGATCTGTTTCCAAACCCAGAGGGAGAAAGGCTTTTTTAAAAAGCTCTTAAAAAAACAAAACAAAACCCTAAAAGTCGACCCAAAGCATTTCCACAGT